TTTCTTTTCTAGAAAATTTTTCTCCTGGTGGAACATGCTATGGAAGATACATTTATTTCCCAGACTATGTAAGTTAATTGAAGTTCAGACAGGTATCCATTGGCAGCTAAAGTAAAGGCAAGTAGATATATTGATTAACTTTAATAATGTAAGAATGCTCACATTTCAGATTGTAGATGCATGGCATGGTTTAGAAAAGGCCCAATATCCTAAGTACTTTGCTACAAGAGAAATCAGGAAATTGGAGTACATTCTTTGGTGGCAGAAGAAATATGGAATGGGAGAGGGAGCGGAGGAGACAGTAACACAAGAGACGACACAGAAGGAAGCAGCCCAGTAGACAGAGCGATTATATTTATTTGTGCAGCGTTACAATGACGTTTTAGAGAGATTTTTGCTTTGATTCTCTATGTACTGTGAGAGAAATTGAAGATATAAGTTTTTATTTCTGTTAAAATGATGTAGAAACTTATTTAAAAACTTTTTTTTATGAAAATAAACTGATCTGAAATTGATTTGTTTGTCACATTAGTGATTTATAAAAGATATTGAAAGTTCCTTGAATGGGAATTTGTAAATTTTCATGTTGTAAAGAAAACTAACAGAAATGGAGCAAATGAGATTAACAGACAGGACAAACAGTTTATGTACTTGTCATGTGCATGGAAAATGTGAAATAAAATCCACATTTTAGATATAAATAAGAGAGCTTTGGCAATTATAGAATGTAATATTTTAAGTATGATGAAATAGCAAGCATCTTTGTAGTAAACAAAAGCTAATTAATAAATGGATTCAAAATCAGACTGGCCAGTCATCTGTAATTGAACAAACTTGACCTCGGCTGTTTACAACTTTATTAATTATAAATGGATTCATCACCCATTTATTTCTGCAGGGAACAACCCTTTCCTCTAACATCCAGTCCAGTGCTCTACCAATCAAGCTAAAGGGTTAACTCAATAGCCCAAGCTAGTAGGAAGCCGTGCATCACACACTACCATATATTTTTAAAGGGAAAATATAATGAATCTTTCTGATCTCTGTCGCCTCGAGGCCTTTGGATGTGGCCAAAACCATCAAAATTTATCCAATCTTCAAACACCTTTCATACCCCTGGACATAAAATGGTCAAACTGACGACCTGATTATAATGAGCAATCAGCCCTTTATCAAAACTGTTGTATCCCCTTGGGTTTGCCCCCAGTGTAGGGCTAAGTTGGTCATATTCCTACAGTGATCCCTATCTCATAGTCATCACTATCTCACATATTTTCAAATTAATGGCCAGAAAGTATTCAACTAACAAAATTCTCATGTTTCTGGAGTGACAACTCCAACTTTTGGGATTAAAATTCATAAAAATTTGGGACAAATAGACCTTACTATGTCATTCAATTTTGTTGTTATAGTTATCATAAACTGTAAATGTCGATATTTTACTGTATTTACTTGCATATAAGTTGGGATTTTTGAGAGTGAAATTTCGGTCCAAAACTACCATATATACTTGCCTATTTAAGTCGGTATTTTGGGAGTTAAATTTTGGTTCAGAACTCTATGTCCGACTTATAGGTGAGTCATAAAAAGGTTAGTATTTTTCTGGACGGCGAAATGTAGTATTTAATAAACATTTCCCATGATTATCATTGAACAAAGTCTGGATATATCATATCATATCATGTATTCTGAGATTATACATAAAGTACAAGTGTTTACATATTTTAATAACTTTATCTAAGTGTGCATTATGTATTTTTCTTATTGATTTAAATTTAAATATCAGCGTCATTTCTAAAAATATTAATCGAAACCAGGTTTAAACATTAGAGCATTAATTTGAAAATGTCAGCTGATTCTGGCAAAAAGTTGTACCGACTTATAAGCGGGTCAATGGCAAATCCCTCCAAAATAACCTCAAAGCATACAACCGACTTATAGGCGAGTATATACGGTATATGTCCCACTTATATGCGAGTCCTACAAAAATCGGTATTTTTCTGGGAGAAGAAATTTAGTTATTTTGAAACAACTCCAATGATAACCATTTGTAAAGGCCAGAACTTGATCTTTTGCAGGAAAGGAAGAACTAAGGTTACCATATAACACAAGTGCTTACAGATTTAAATGATCTTATATTTGTTTAAATTGTTGATAAAAGATCAAATATCAGTCATACCTCAACCATACTTGAAAAAAAACAAGTAAATACAATAGAATATTAATCTGAAATTGGGAACAGATTCTGGCAAAAAATGAAGACTTACAAGTAGATCAATGGCAAATTCCTGCCAAATAATCTGAAAAAACCCACTTATAAGTGAAATGACTTATAGGTGAGTATATATGGTAAGTGTGTTGATAATTACAAGAACTAGTATCAGGCACATTAATTAGTGTCTAGTTAACTGTCAAAAAACAGGAAAAAGCAAAACAATTCGACATTTCAAGGGACTTCAACTCCATCGGGTGCACAGATTTTTATCACACTTGCTATGTAGCTAGAGCTTGTTATTTTGATTTCACCTCTGCCAGAATTTGCATTTCTGCTTTTCCTGAGTTATGCATATATCATGCGTATGTACTGTTTATAGTAACAACAGCCTTGTCCTTTATTGGGTCAAATTGAATTGTTTGAAGAAGACATGCCCAACATCAATACTATTAATAATTTCCAAATCTGCCCAGTAGTTTCAGAGATGATTTTTAAAAAAAATTAACAACAACAGATGCCAAGAGATAGAATATGTTCACTAAGCTCTCTAGGCCAGGTGAAGTAAAATTCTACTCATCATCAAGGTACAAGCTTCACAGTTCTCACCAGTAAGGTGATTTCCAGATAAAAGTGGGGTTTAATTAGTCAGGTAAAGAAACCCAAGATACTCAGGTGACCAACTAGGCCCCTGCACTTCTTGTTTTCCAAAACCAGAGACCAATTTATTAAAACAGTCTACAACCTCATCAAATTTTATATCGCTTATGCATCAGGACACACCTTGCAAGTCTGGAACCAGGTTTTGCATGGTTGGGGAGTGGGGATATGTATTTACACATCTACTATATTGGTACATCCGTAATACCAAAATGATCAAAATTGTTTCCAGGATATAAAATTCACAATGTGTTTTAATCAATTATTAAAATACTGAACTGTTCTCTTAAATCCAGTTGATTGCATCAATTCCCCCTCCTGGTGGTGTTGTGAGAGGGCTAGTACATTGTTGTTTATATAGCCTCCTTTTTCTCCTGTGGGTACTGGATCTTTCGTTTTGTGTACCAAATCTTACTTTGTTGTCATGTCACTTCACCATTGATTTTAGCCTTCAAAGATTTCAAAAACAAAATACTCATCTCACCAAAGCTCTTGCTGGGCGATGTAACATTTGGTAATTATTAGTGACAACTAGCTCATTAATTGCAACTTTCCACTGTATCCATTAGAAATGAACTTAGAAATATAAAATAACACGATTTTTCTACTAATATAGTTTAATGAAATTCATTGCATATTAATGCTTTCATGACCAGCAAATTAAAACACACACAAGTTTTTTAAAAATATTTGTGACTTAAACTCCATACCTACATTGACATTGTCAAAATCCCTGTAATCCATAATTAAAAACTCACACAATGGAAGAATAAAAAAAAAAGAGAGACATTTTTTTTCTTAAATAAAAAATTGGATTTGATTTTAAACACTGTGGCTTCGAGACTAATCCCATTTCCAATTCCAATACTATTTTGGTCTAAGGCACTAACACAAAAACTCTAATGTGTACAATGGAATGGTTACTTCCCCTACACCAAACTAAAATGTGTAACATTTTCTTATCAAAACAAATAATAAATAAATATAGAAATCAGACATTTTAACAAATGAAAATTAAAGAGAATGGTTGGAATGCTGTTGCAGGAGCTTGTTTATAAAAAAAAGGAATGCATAGTTCTCAAAAAAAGAAGTCTGAAAGTTGTCACTATTAAACACATCCATATATACAAATAATGTACAAAATTCAACATAGGAAAAAAAAAGTCATAACAAATGAATAAATAAATAATTTTTGACTAATAACAGATCTGTCAGGAGACTAGGGTGTTGTCCTATGCACTTTTTTTTCACGACTCACAAAAATGTGCGGAAACACGTGCGGTGGGGTGCCATATTGGGGACTCCCAAAGGGAGCGTGGATTGTCAATATTAAGAGACAAAATTATTTCCTCTTGGAGCATTCATATAAAAAACAGTAAATCATAATATATATATACACAAATACATGCACACAACATTTGTATACAACAATCGGAATGTATAAAAGTATTTACAATTCATTGTGGTTTGTTCCCATGTGTTCGGGAACTTGACATTTACACACTCTATGCACATTACCTTGTATTTATTTTTCCTCATGTCAACTATGATGAACACTTTTACTAAATCACTACACAACAAGTTTTGGAATGTTCAATAAATAATCCCTGACACAAGTTATTTCAAAACAACTGGGAAATACCAGGAAACAGAAACTGCTACAAATATATGTTACTTTATAATATTTCTGTGCATTTCAGACAAACTTGCTAATTTATCACACAAAGTACATGTATATAGTGATCTTACGACAAGTAAACTAAGAGGTAACAAGGCATCAATGACACCAATCTTCAAAGACGAGGTGACCACACATTGAATTACTAAATGAGATAATGTATATACAAGTGAAGAAAATAACTCCTCACATAGCATCCAATTAATCATATCAAGTTAAACACTATCATCAAATCATGAGACATTTATACAATCATGTACTATCTTAATAAGACATTTTAATGTTTCAGAATCTTTCAACCCCATTCAACTAACTGTTCACCAATTTAAAATTCACTTAATATACATTTGCTTCAATATTCATGCATTTGATTATCATTTTATTTCCCCAAATACTTTTTACATGCCATCTTCATACATTTCCCATAGCAATGTTTAAATGTCATCTATTTCTCATAGTATCAATTTCCCATAGCAATGTTCATATGCCATCTATTTCATATGCCATTTATTTCCCATAGCAATGTTCACATGCCCAGTAGCTTGGCAGCACTGTCTGCTGAGTCTAGCATCTGGTCGATGGATCCCACATCCACACCAAGCAGATTGTGGAGAATGTCAGCACTGTTGTCTTTGGTATCTGTCTCCATGGTAATGGTGGTGGATTTTGCCGGCTGTGGTATCGGGGTGGAGGAAACCGTGATAAACTGTGGGCGGTTCTCCTGTACAAACAATACAGATAATGTCAATCAATAAAAACTAAAAAAAAATTTTTTTATCAAATTTGATTTCTTTGAAGAAATACCAATAGAACAGTGTCCTTACAATGACTTTGGGAGAATCTGTCATGACAGTAACAGGGATCACTGGGATAGCAGCAGCAGGCATTCTGGGTAATATAGGTCGATGATGAGTCATCAGTTTACTGACACCAGGTTCATCTTGGTTGTTGTTATTGTCCTCATCATCACTTGGGCTCAGTGAGCCAGAGTCCACATGCTTCTTACGATGCCTCATCATACTGTGCTTCAAGGTGAAGCGCTTGTGGCAGATGTCACATTCAAAAGGCCTCTCTCCTACAATCAATGTCAACATTTTTAGTCAAGAATGATTATTTTCAAATAATTATTCCTCATAAAGTAATTTATCTAACATCTACTTATTAAGGTTCATTGATACTCTGATAAGAGAGATAACTCTTAATGACATAAAAGTCTATTATTCCTTTAGAAATTTGACAAGTTGAAATGTCTTTTTTGTCCAATTCTGCCCTGCAAGCTATGCTAAAGTTGTTTGAATTTTACTTATAAAACACATTTCTTTTGAAAAATCATAACAGTTAAAGCAATATTTTATGTGAGTGAGTAAAGGGTTTATGAACATTAAATTACATGATAATTACCTGTGTGGGATCTCATGTGGCGCCTCAGGTCCTGCAAGGACCAGAATCGCTTAGGACAGAGTGAACAGTACACTTTACGCTGCATGTAGTCCGCAGACACCACCTCCATCTTAGGGTCATCTGCATTCTGACCAGGAATCTCCAGCACTGCCCCTTGATCCACCTTATTACAGTTGTTCTCCACCACCTTATCCATATGTCTGGCAAATGTGTCCACATTATCCACCTTGTTCTTTTCCTTGAGGATCTTCCAGTCAGAGGAGTGGGCGCTCTCCTGATGATCTAGGCAGGACTTTCGGGTCTCGTATGAGGCATCACACAAGTAACACTTGAAAGGGAGATCAATGTTGTGCTCCTTCAGGTGGCGAACCAGTAATTTACGAGAGACAAATTTCTCATTGCATTTCCAGCAGTTGGTGATCTTATCAACATTGTAGTTGTCTCGCTCTGGGTTGATCTGGCGTTCTGCAGACCCTGTGAATTCTGGGATAGGCGATGGTTTAGGAGAGGGTTCTTCTATGGAGTTATCAATGTTCAGCGGAATTATATCATCATCGTCATCATCATCATCAGATTTCAAGTCATCGGGAACTATAAAAGTGGTTATGGCAGTTGGAGTGTCGGAGTCCTGAAAAGAAAAGAAAGAGGTATAAAATTTTTGAACTAATGAATTATGGAAAATTTAAGCAAACTTTGTCTCCGTTTCAGGTTGAAAAAAAAACAACTTTACCTTGGTCTTGTTTAGGAGGCTCTGTTCATCCTGCTTGTTAAGTTGAATGTCCATGTTGTAACTCTCAATACTGTACATGCCACGCTCGTGTGGGGGAATGGTGGTACTGAGTCCCTTGGTGACAGCTCTATCAAGGTCAGCCAGGGTGTCCGGAAGTTCACAGCCAACATGGCGCTCCTTGTAGTGCTTCAGCAGGTTACCTTTAATAAGGAAAAAAATGACATGAGATACTAATGGTAATCAAACAAAAAAAAAAATCGAAAAAAATCAGATAATTATCATACAAAAATGCTTTGTGAAACATTGTTCAATGCACACCTTGAGTTGAAAAGGAGCTGAATACACAGAGATGACACTTGTATGGGCGGTCCATGGTTTGACGAGACAGTGGGTCCATCATGTTAACACCATGTTTCCTGATGAGATGGCGCTCGCGGTTTGACTTGGTGGAGAAAGTGACTGGGCAGCGGGGACATTTAAATGGCTTCTGTCCTGTGTGGGTCAGGAGATGGCGGGTAAGGGAGCTAACCCACGGGAAGGTCCTGGTGCAGTAAGGACATTGTAACTTATGTGGGGAGTCAGCATATGAATTTCTTTTCTTCTTCACTAGAAGCTTGTCTGCAGGCTCTGTCACTGTCTTTGGTATTTTTGGTGCATTGATGAACTGAAACAAGTAAAAAGACAAAATATTTGGAACTGCAGACTGGAAAATTTATTCTATCATGGTTCAAGCTTTGTTAAGACTTAAATATGCTCAACTAACAAATACATTTATTGTACTTTATATACAAGTATGAGAAAAACTTACCATCTTAGCAAACTGTTCTGGGCTCTCTGCTATTTCAGGCATGTCTTGGTCACTGTGCATGCTAGAGTTATCCCCCTTATTTCTAGGGCTGAGAACAGGAGGTTCCTCCAGATCTTTGCTTTTACATGTACCGTCTTCATCAATGGAATAATCCATTGAATCATCACCTGATTTACCAGACAGGTTAGAATTATCAATTGGAAATGATTGGAAAGGTTGAATGGCGGCATCAAGAATTTTTTTCACCGAGGCAAGATCTGAGGCAGTATCTGAACCTAAGATGAACAATGTTCAAAGTCAAACAATATTCTTTCAAGAACATGTTACATTACTCTATAAATTCTTCCTGAACTGTTTCTCTTAACTATTTTTCAAAGTATAAATTAAACTGACAATTCTTTTAAATCTTGAATTTTAAAAAGTAAATTTTCAGTTCATAAGAATAATCAATAACTGAACTTCTAAAATTCCCCAGTAACAATCACTGGTAAAACCATACAGAAATGAAAATAGAAAAGAGATTAAACTACATTCATAAACTCAAAATTGCACACAAATCTAACTGAACTAACTTAACTTGTCTGAACACAAACAAAAAAGATTGTTTTAAGAATAAGCGTACCATTCAACTCCATAGACAAAATACTATAAAAATTATAATGATTTGTAACATAGGCATAGAAATGAAGAAAAAAAACATTATAAACAATAACCAACACTATACACATACTTACACATCCTAATATGAGAATACTTTTATAGGCAAAAAGATTTTATTAGTGAAAAGCCATTTATTTAAACAATGTAATAATGTACGATGACTTTAAATTCAAAAACCACCTCCATGAAACAGAAAATTATTTGGTTCATAAATCTTACCATGATTGAATTTGGAGTCTGGTTTGTTAATTCTATCCTTTAGACTCCTTGCATTGTTTCCAGTTTTTGGAAAGCGCATCAGGATTTTCATCCTTTCCTCGCTGCCATGGCTAGTGGACAGTTTGGTTGATGGTTCTGATGTTGTGGCTTCCTTCAGCGCCTGTTTCTCCATTCTCTCCAGCAGATGGTGGTGGTCCTGCAACAGGTGGCGCTCCAGCATCCTCTGACTGGAGATTCCCATTGGACAGAACTGGCACTGGTATACATTAGTGTCATATACGATGGAGCGGGAATTCTAGAATTTAAAATATACCATCATTTAAAAGCCTGAATTGTCAACTTTTAAAGTCTCATTTTATTATTTAATTCTCTCATAACCATATCACTTTCAGATTATGTAAAGATATTTGATAAAAAATGGTGAAAAAAGAAGACATACTGGGGTCGGAGAATCACTGGCCTCCTTTCCTTTAAAAGAAAGATCCATTGGCAACTCGTCCACTTTTGGTTTGACATCAGGTGTTGAGGTAGAACTCCTGTTTACGCTAAAGTCAAGAGGCAAATCATCCATGTCCATTGGCTCCTGCTTAATTTTCACGGCTTCTGCCTTAATATTTGTAATGGGGGACTGAGTACGGCTTTCTGTTGCTAGGAGAGATTTGGTGGATGAGTGGGCAGCTGGCGGATTTCCTCCAGAGAAGTCAAGTGTGTCTGCTGTCTGGCTGTCATCCGACAAGCCCTCCCCAAACGACTTCTCCCCATCCTCCAGGAGGGAGGGTTCATTAACATGGATGAACTGCTCTATCTGATACTGGGATACCTCAGGGTGTTGCTTCTGTAGATGTCTGACACAGTTAGCTTTGGTAGAGAACCCAATGTCACAGCGCATACAGAGGAAGGGTTTCTGTGGACAGCTGCTGTGTGAACGGAGGTGGTGTTTTAAAGCCCGAAAAAACTTGAAGTCTTCACCACAGTATTTACAGACTGTGTCAGGGGACTGGAAATTTTCTGTGGTGCTGGAGGATTCTGCCACATATTTATTGTACCCAATGGCAGCATCTACTTCTTCTTTCAGATACTTGCCATGCTTCTTTCTGTAATCAGTAATTATACATGTAATTAGTAAATTATCATGCAAATTTCAGGGGGATTATTTAGCTTTGGCTGAACATAAAATTATCTAATTTCAATTTTTAATAATTTTCAATGATTAATAAAGGATATTAAACACAAGTATACAATTTTCCAAAGTGAGCTGAATTCAGTACCTGACATGCCTCTCGCAGTTGGCTTTAGTAGTGAAGGCAAAGTCACAAACTCTGCACTGAAATGGTCGTTCTCCATTGTGGGTTCTTAGATGACGAATCAGTGTGCTCTTATCTGCACTGGAGTAACTACATAGGTTACATTTGTATGGAGACAGACCAAGGTGGGTTCGAGTGTGACCTGTAATAAAAACCAAATTAAAATTAAAATTCTTCTTACAGTATTGCTTTTTTTATAACTCTAGTAATTTAAATGTGATACAGCAAATTTCTAGACAATTCTACCTTCTTATATGCCTAGTCTAATTAATCACAATTTATTCTATAAAACTTTCCTTGCACTTTGTTAATTGGTTTCACTTAAAAGCCACTTCATTGTTTTCACAACAGATTATCTCCCTTTAACCATGATGCACAGGTTAAGCTTTCTATGGGAATGTAAATGACAAAAAGAAATACACACAAAACTAAAAGAATTTTAAAAAAAAGTCTTGATAAATCTAAGAAAATGATGACACATTTATAAACCAAAATAAGACACAACAATCCATATCAAAATAAAAATTGTAGATTTTGAAAGTATGACACACCATGCTTAAATGCATTCTATTCAATTTTGGAAAATAATTTTCTATATAAAATTGAATCTACTGAATCTTTTAAAGCTAAAAAAATAGAAATAAAATAAGAAAGTTAAAATAAAAAGCTTTTCAAGATGAGTTACAGTAAGTGCCATTTAGATAGGGACTTGTATAACTTTACATTCTTTCTCTTTTTTAAATTTAATTAAGTTCTGCAGATGTAATTATCTTGTTAATTATCATTTATTATTTCCATTCAAAGCTTACATAAACCAAAGGAAAGGGAAAAAATGGCCACAAATAAGTTATTCTAATATATGTTTCTCTGTGTTAGTCTCCTCTTTGCCTGTCAAAGTCTTATTCACTTATTAAAACCATAATTAACATTAATGTATTTTAGATCATGCAATATGCAAATAGGAACTGCAGGAAATAAACTGAAAACATATAAACAACAATTGAACATCGGTACAATATGCACAAGTTGATACAATAACCTGTTATTGCTTTAATTTCTGAGCAAAACCAGCGCTAGCAAAAAAGAAAGAAGTTTGTATTATTTCTCATATTGGAAAAGAAAATCAGAAGACTTTAAACATCCCCAAATTTTGATGAAAAAAAGAGAAAAAAAATTGTTTCCCACCTATGGTAAAAAAAAAAATGGAATTAGTAATGTGACTTTTAATTAATAATGTATTTGATATTTAAATTATTTAATTGGATGTCATTTATTCCCTTGAATCTTCAAATTAACACATTTCCTGTCAGGAACCTAGCACAATGATTGAGGTGCTGTCAATAATCTAATAATTTAGCACAACAAGGGAGCAGACACCATCATCATTTCAACTGACTCTTTTGAACGTGTGTGGCATCTGAGTGCAGTTTACATGATCTCAAATAAATCACATTTCTAATGGAAAACCAAAAAAATCAGTGAACCAATAAATGTATACAATTTTATTACAATTATAGAGAAAGATGGATCTTTAACATAAAATACATTTTCCATAAAAGAAATAGCAAAAAAAAAAAGAAAAATTCTCTTGCCTTTCATGGTTCTATAGTTGGTGAACACCAGATCACAGTATTTGCACTGGAAGACACCATTCTTATTGGGGTACTTGTCAGACATTTCTCCAGAAGAGCCACTCTCACTGCTGGGAGGGGGTGTTGGAAGGGGGCTGGAAATATTCTGTCCCGCCATCATACTGGTCAGCATAGCTGGACTTGTCATGGCTGCTAGGGTAGTTAGCTGGTTCAGAGACATAGTGTTGTTGGCACTGGACTTTGGCAAACCAAGGGGAAGTATTGAAGGCATGAAGGCTTTAAACTGAGAAGCATTGAGACCAGAAATTTGCTCCATTCCTTGGAAGAACTGAGGCATGGCCATAGCAGCCTGGACAAACTTCTGGGCTTCAATGTAAGCTTTGGCCTGTTCTTCAGGAGACATCTGGGCAAATTTGGCAGCAATAAGTGGATTAATGGGAGATATATCAGAGGAGAAAACCTGGCCAAGTCTGGCAAAATAATCATTATTTTCTTTCTTATCCATGCTTGGGTTTGCTTCTAACTTCAGTTCTTTATCTCTTTTCTGTAAAAGTTCGGCTTCGCTCACAGTGGTCAAACCAAATGAGGCTAAGAAATCATGTTTTCCAATTTTATCAGGTTTTGGGGATTTCAGGACTTTTTCAGTTTTGCTCTTTACCATGACATCATTGAAAGCTTTGTCTGATAGATGCTTGACCATGTGAAGGTGAAGTTCGTTAGTGTCCAAAAAATCACACTCACATAGAGGGCACTGTGAGGTCTTCTCTGGACTATGAGTGTACTCGTGTAAGAGTAAAGATGCTCGAGATGGAAAGGCCTTTGAACACTCGCTACAGTGAAAATTGTGGTAAATACTGCTCGATATTCTCACGTTTTCCTCACAATAGGACTTGGCAACTAAAGGAAATTTTTTGACTGAGAAGTCCATAAAACCAAGATCATAGAATCCCACAACAGCTGGGGGAGAGGACTTAGGCTCAGGGTTGTTTTCAGTATCTTCCACAGACTTCTCCTTACTGTGGACCATAAGTTTGTGCATGCTCAGGCCCCTGAGGGTTGGAAATGACATGTGACATATTCCACATTTCATAGAATACTCAGGGTGGGTGTCTAGGTGGGTCTCTAGTCCATATTTACACAGGAAGCCCTTGTTACAGACAGGACAGTGAAGCTGGTCTCCTTCTCTCTCCTCTCCGTTCACAGACTGAAAATTCAATAAAAAATAATTGTTACTTCAATCAACCCGCAAACTAATTAAAATCATACATTAAAACATCAACTTTATTCAAATTAACAAAACACAGAAAACATTCATCTAGTTTAAATTTTTTCCTAGATTTAAAAAAAAATCAAAATTCTGATGAGTCTGTGCTCCACCTTTTTGATTCCAGCAATGACAAGACAATGTTTATGAATCCACTGAAACTCTTCAGATATTAACACTGTTAAGCTTGATGACAGGTGCTAAGTAATAAGCGGGTTGTCAAGTTAACTCTAATTAATCATGCAGAAAATTAAGCTATTTTGTCTATACTGATACATATTTTCTAAAATGATAAATATATTCCCAAGCCGTTTAATATGTTAATATAATCATGCAAATATTTTTAGCATTATAATAAAGACACATCACAAGAAATCACAAAATCTGTCCATTTTCTCTACCTCCAAGGGACCTTTCCTGTCATGGTGGGCGGAGTTGGTGAAGGATTTGATTTCTGTTCGGGAGTCCTTTGGTTTTTTGGTAATACTGGATGGTGGTGGTGTGACTAGAGTGGGGGATTTCTCCGTTACGACCTGGGTAGGGGTAACCTGGGTTAGGTTTATCTTCTTTGTTGGACTGGTATACTGATTAGGAGAATACTCAATGAAGTTGAATGCTCTCTTCTGACCAACAGAAACAGGTTCGCTTGCAGTCAAGACTTGAGGTTTGGTCTCTAGAATGGAGAACTTTGGCATATTGGACAGAAGTTCGGTTGACAGAAGTGATGTTCCTGGCGATATGGTCAGTGATGTAGTGGGAGTGCTGGTGTTAGGAATTATGGGCCTAGATTTCCAGGTGGGAGTTTTAGGTTTTGGACGGATGGGTTTCATTCCTGTGGATCCACCGAGTTCATTTTCTTTGGCATGAATTCTTGAATGGCGATGCATATTACCATTTGTAGTAAATGACATTTTACAGATCTTACACTGAAATGGTCTTTCCCCTGAAAGAAATTTGACATAAAATATTTTAGCCAATCCAACATGAAAGATGAGTCCATAAGACTAAAGGCTCTAAGAATGAAAAAAAAAACTAACAAATTCCAACTGAACACACAAAAAAAAATATACAAAAATATTTTCTTTCTGATTTCTCATAAGTTTTATAGATTATTTCATTGATTACTTTCTGAATTCTTGTTTTATTGATTATTTCATTGATTACTGGGTAGGAAATATTACCTGAATGTACGAGCATATGTCGATCAAGTGAACTCTGAGAACTGAGCACTTTTCCACAAATGGTGCAGGTGTTGGCCTGAGAAGTGTTGTTTTGGTTGTGGGACCTGATGTGTTTGGTTAAATCATGAGATGATGAGAGGATGGTTTTACATATGGGACAGGCGTACTTTGCATCACCCCCTTCTCCATTAGTGATGGGTAAAATCTGTGAGAGGAAAAGTTTTTCTACTTAACCACTACACAATAAGATCAACCCACTGGTCTCCAAATTTCACATGCACTACATGAAACATGCTTAATATCTAGTAATAATTTCATTTGTACAGATTATTTTATTTCACAGCATATGGTAAAGTTTAGCAGAAGATGGTAGCTTTTACTTTTAGTCATTTAATAATGAAATCTTACTCTTTGATAAAATCATCTTTAAATGTAAACAAGATTCTTTTTTTTTTATTCGGGGAAACTTATTCCTCATCAAGATTAAGGATAAAGATTATCTATAATCCATCTTAATCCTCTGGATGTTTGAATTATCTGAGACTGATTCTTGCCATAATTTCTTATTCTTTAATCTTGATAATCTCCTTAATAAAAGAATAATCATAAAATTACAAACAAGAATTTCCATTGAATGTAACAAAACTGTATTAGCATCAACTTGAGGTATCAAAGGGGATTAAAAGTACAGGCAAAAGATAAGTACAGTAATTATACATATATTTTATAAGTAACAAAAGAATGTCGGCAGCTGAAATGGAAAGCTTTTAAACACTGAAAAAGCAATATCTTGAGTACACAATGACAGTTTAGGAAAAAAAAAAGAAGAAAGGCTGCACCAAAGAAAGAAACTATTCATTAAGCAAATATTTAGGGCTTAATTCAGTGTTAATATATATGAACTTTTTTTTATGTAACACTAAGAAATGATAATTAAATGGGCCATAACAGACAAAATTTCAGCAAGTTTCTTTGGTGCATTGGAATTAAAGAGAGTATATAGACAGAGATATGCACACATTCATGTACTCACAAAACTGAAATTTTGATTATTTTTTTTTTTTAATATTGAACACACAGTTTTAGAATCACAGGCTGTTCAACATTATGTCAGTTATGACTACAAAGATCAAAGTAAATAATATACAAGAATATATTTTAAAAAAAGAGAAGATAAACAGATGTTATTACTTGTAACGTAGACTATGCACATGCAGTGTAATTATTGCACCCTCACCAGAATGTGTAAAACTAATCATGCAAGGCATGCTGGGAGATTGTAGCTGTAGGGAATTCTGGGACTGATGTTGCTATAGGTACTAGTTATGAGTAACCAGTATTGCTGCAGGTGACAATATAACTGTCATGTAATACCTTAGATTCTGACTCCTCACACTCTACATTTACATCAGGATCTTTTTCCGCTTGATTTGACAGAGTCTGAAATTTGATCGTCTCATTTTTATCACACATTTCTTTTTAGATCGATTGTATAGATTTTTAAAAAAAAAATAAACATATAAAATTTATACATAATAAAAATTTGGAAAATTAAGATAATCAATTTTAGTTCCCCCCCCCCCCTGAATTGTAATAATTTTTTCTTTTTAATTCTTTTTAAAAAATTATTTTTTTAAATTTTTTTTTTAAAAAGGCAAAAGTTTTTTAAAAGGTTGTGAAACCCTCATTTTTCCCTTTAAAAAGAAAAAAGATGGAGGAATATCTCCCTTTTTCTTGCATGACAGCTCTCCTTGTCTTTGAAAAAAGACATCTTAAAAGAAAAGATGCACTCAAAGTCTGAAGGACAGATATGTTAAAGGAAAATTCACTCACAATGAAGAGGGAAAAAAACTTGTTATAAAGATATAGCACACAGAAAAAAATTTAGAATAAGATTCTTTGGACAAAATTTTCTTCCAATCTAATAAAAGTCACTCTCTTTTTGTTACTGTTAAAAAGAACTTGTAAAAAATATTTACCTTTTTTCCTCGTCTATGAACTTTAGATGCTGATATATTTGAGCTAAGTCCACTGGGACTGAGTTGATCAGAAAGACTAGAAACGGAAGGAGTCCGAGATGACTTTTCCGACACAGTGTTAGGTTCTCCACTATCAATGAACAACTGGTCCTGCTCCGAGGAACAATTACTCAGTTGGTCCTGATTGCTTAAGGATGGAGAAGTGAATATGAAGTTATTGGGTTTAAAGCTGTCGTCTGTGTTTTTAAGTAATGTGGCACTCCTGGCTACCTCTGTCTGCGATGTATAGCTACTGGCTTCAGAGGATGACTGCTGTATATTATTAACGGTTATCAAATCATCTTGATCATCAATGTCTTCTGCTTGCCTGGAGGTGTCCACAACTAGTGGAGCATAATCATCGTAATCAAGATCCTAAAGAAACAATCAAAGAAATGTCACCAGTTTATGAGGTAGGATGGCTTACACACAGTCAGTCCTAGTCAAGTGGTCAATCACAATTTTTCACTGATCAATAAACTAATGAGGATAAAAAAACAACTCTCTTGGCTGAAGAGACCACTGGAGACAAAAGGTTGAGTGATTCATTCTCCATTCATCATACTTTGGGAGAGATGAAACAATGCATTTTGTCCGACCGAGCAGAACACTGTCCCTGGTAACAGAAATGCTCTGCCCCGCAGGCAAAATGATGTTACTGCCAAAGATTATTGAGAGACAAAGTATGTAGGTACAGTTATAACCAAGCTACAATGCCCCCAAGACAATAGCAATTAACGACAATTATGAGCCTGGTGTAAACAAATGACACTGCAATCAGTAAGTGAAGAAACTGATTAGCAGGAAATAAATGTGGTACCGTCACACCTGAATGTTGTGGTCAGGCTACATGCTTATTTTTTGGTGTCGACATAATTTTTTCAGGACCCATCGAGAATATTTGTTGGTTTATTTGGCAGATGACATCACAGTCTTGAGACCGGATTTTAACTGCATTTACTCCTAATCTGACAATGTAACAAATCTATTTTTTGTCTACTCCCTGTTTAATTAGATTTCTAATCTATCATTTCGTATTCAAACTGTATCAATGAAATCTCTGTCTCGATTGGGGAAAAAAATTGTTGATAAATATTTTCCTTTCTACTTCTATAATAAAATTCCACTTCATGTTTATTCATTTTCATTGCTACAGCAATTAGAAGTTTTGTCATTAATTTGTAATTTATAATTATTAGTAGCTATATAAAAGTGAACTTTATGAATAAACAAGGTAGGTAATTAAAGACACTGACTGCCATTCTTAATAAATATTCTCAGCAAATGAACTGACAAATAGGACTGCCCATCTTCATACTGAATTTCACATATACATATATTTATTTAATTTTTTAAAATAAAAATGCAATATCATTTCAAATATTCTTAATTAATATGAATGTGTTACAGAAACAGTAACGAGATTTAAATCTAATTTTTTTTCATGGAATACACTTCATACCCTTAATTTTTTCAGGTGTTGGTATGTTAAAAAAAATGATTACTGATTAAAGATTATCATATCTGTAATTATTATTCAAACATTTAACTGTGATATTTTTCTTCCTCCTCACGATTTGGAATGTTGAAGTGTACTTCGTCTAATTTGAACGATAGATGTCAAAGCCAATTTTGACAGTGAACCTTTACAACATCTGATTGTTTTATTCATGAGCCCGTTAATAAGTGGCAGGATCCATCCCTCTACCAAACTGTGCAGCCATAAAATAAATCATTAAAAATTTATGAAAAATTCAACAGAAAAAATTTCAAGTACATGGACCCTGGGGAAAAGTGAATTGATGACTTGCACAAATTCAATTAACTCCGTCCACTCTGAAAACATACCTATGATAAAGACAATGCATGAATCAAAATTTGATCCCTTTTCATAAATTTTATCTAATTTGATGTAAAATAAGGAATGTTAATTCCGACTTTTCAAATATTTTATTAATGGCCGTAAATCAGTACATCACTTTGAACTGAACCTATACCTGATCAGCCTTACGGAAAAAAGGAACATTACAATTCATGGAATACTTAATTTTTTGACAAAATGTTAATACTGGTAAAACTCGTCTCCTAATTTTCTAAGTCAATGTATGAATAACCTTCACCAACTGAACATTGATTGGTTTCGAGTTCCCAAATTTTTCCTTACGTCAAAGATGTCTAAGAAACACAAAGGTCCTATTTCGGGTTTGATTGATATTTTTCCCTGAAGAGATAAAGCCATGGCCAAAAATAAGGACACATGACATCTCCATTTTTTCCCAGGATACAGAATAAAAGACCTTTTCCTCCGTTTGTTACATGTGGTAAACATTTTCATAATTCCAGTGTTTTATGATCTGACAGTTGTAGACATGCCTAGGACAACGTCCCTTAACATTCCCGTGAACATGATGTGTGTAAGATTTATTATCGCAATTTTAATGAAAATCCACTGATTGTTAATTCAGAGAAAATCCATAATTTTGACTTCTAATAAAAGTGACCATAAAAAAACCTGTCAGACTCTTTTTTTTTTTAAAAATAGATTTGATTTACGATACCATCCTGTGTAGAACTTCTCCCCCACAAAAATATGACTGCTGAAAATTATATCCTTAGTCATCTAACTGCCATTGAAAAATCATACCGATAATATTTTAATACATTGAATTGGAGAGCCAGGTACCCATATCTTGTTACAATCACCAGCAAATTATTACCAGTCCCTGCCGATTATCAAGCCAAGACCTTGGCTCGGGATTTGTTTCCAAATAAAAGAAAAAAATATTACTGTTCTCTCCTGTTGCCTAATATAATTAGTATCAGTAACTAATTGCCGGGCTTTTGAAATTACATGAAGGCAATTAGAGAGCACATTTTCCTTGTGATGACCCTCAAGAAAATATCTACATATAATTATTTTAATGACGGCAATTTCTTCCGGAGCTTTGTAAAACTGTGGAAAAGAAAATTCAGATAGTGTGAGAATGCAGCGAGAGGCAAATCTATAGATTCTGGTGAATGCCTGATACTTCTATTTACATAGTTTAAAGCAATTGTGACGTATTCACCATTCATCACACACTTTATCTGAAGTGCTGAATAAGAGTCAAATTATCCTTGATTTTCAATATCCTTCAAGAAAATTGATGCCGATCTCAGCCCACAGATACCTTTAGAAAGGGTTGATTCAATATCAGTGCTTGCTATTTACCCAGTAACAAACGAGAGCTGGGCCCTGAGAGGAGAATATGAATGTTTGTCATTTTGAGTAGCACGCACCAAGCTCCTCTCAAGTTCACAATTCAATGTCACGTGTAACTCTAGAAAAATAAATGTATTAAATTTTTTTAGAAAAATAAAAAGGGGATGGAGTCTACAATCTCCCTCTTTAATTTTTGCTTTATCAATGCAACTAGTGAGTATATAGCGGGAGTTTTGTGTGTGCGAGACATCTAACGGGACCACATCATTAATTACAACAGCCATTCAACAAGTTGGAGCGTCATAAAAATAAATTTCATAAAGACGACTTTTTTTTCCTAAGGTACATCCTGCAGGGGGATGGGAACAATGCATAGGTTGTCATTTTAATTGTATCCCGAACACTCATATCAAGGCACAATCAGTCAGTCCCTGTAGTCTACGAACAATAAGAATTAAAATATGCTCAGCAATATCTCTGCTACCCTCGTAACCCCAACATCAATACAGCGCACATAGTGTAAAGAATTCATATATGACTACATGTTATTTGATAAAATATTGTCCTATTCAGTAACCGATAAAGATGATGTTTAATGTGATAACTGCTTCAGACTTTACATTGCAGCCCATCCAAGATCACCTCAATGAATCTGCATGGTTCAGCAAATCAGGCTAGTCGCGCAATTATCCTTATTATGTGCTGCCGATTGCCCGTTCAATTAAACGGTGATTCATTAGTACTCGCTATCTCTCTATCTGCCGTCTCAATCTGAATCTTTAACTAGAGGTATGCTTCAATTCAGTATCAGGATATCATCTCTAACATTGATTACCAGTGCATCCATACAACTTTATGTATCAATTTAAATGTGCTTTTGTGCCTTAGGAGACAAAAAAAGCATTGGCCTTGGACAAACTATTTGGTACCTTTATTTGACTGCTGTACCTCACAAAACTTTGTCTCTCAAAATTTCTTAATGCCCCATCAATTAAATGATGCTATGTCAGACAGCTATTCATTTCTCAGATTTTTTTTTATAAATTAACCATAAAGGTCATCAAAGATAAGAATATGTATCCTGAAATTATTTAATAAGGAAAAATTGTTTTTCAATCTATTGATTGGCTTTATGTTTTCAGAGAAAAAATTATTTCTTCCTTAACTATTACTTCCTACACATCAATTTCTTTTGGGAACTTATTTTCTATAAATTGCTTCCTTCTTGGCAGCAAAATGAAGTAATTCTGAACAGGTGATCAGGTACAGACAACCCCCATAGCAGGCTAAGTTTCTGACTAAGTGTTGCCACCATAGCAGGCAATGTTTCTGGCTAAGTGTTGCCACCATAGCAAGCTAGATTTCTGGCTAAGTGTTGCCATCATAGCATGTTATATTTCTGGCTAAGTGTTGCCACCATAGCAGGCTATTTTCCTGGCTAAGTGTTGCCATCATAGCAGGCTATGTTCCTGGCTACATGTTGCCACCACAGCAGGCTATGTTTCTGGCTAAGTGTTGCCACCATAGCAGGCTATGTTTCTGGCTAAGTGTTGCCACCATAGCAGGCTATGTTCCTGGCTACATGTTGCCTGCTGTTACCATTGCCTCCCTCTGTCTGTAGCCAGCTACCATGTTCCTATATCCACTTCTGTTGGGATACTGATCTTTTGTTGCCAATACCTACCTATAAAACATACAATAAAACAGAGGACTAATTTACCTGATCTGACTCTTGTTCATTCAAGTTCTCATAACTGGCCACCATTGTAAAGCAGGGCTCCTTGTTGACCTTAGCCACATGGTTCTCTTCTTGGTCTATAAGAAAAGAAAAGTATTCATTGAGTAAAATCAATTCCTGATGACTGACTCTTGTAAAAGGATAAGAGAAGACCCCCATCTCACAATAAGATGATGCTTCAAAATCATTTAACACTGCATAAATCATCAATTGAAGTGTATTTCATCAAAGGAGGGAATGAATTCTGCAATAAAAACTACTTATTACAAGAAAGCAGTATTTATTTATTGCCTAAGACTGTATTGATATAGACGGCTTTGATCCTGCTTCTTGAATCCCAATGCTCTTTAAAGATTCCAGTACTAAGGATTCTGACCATTGTGAATGTCGAGCACTCAAATTGTTTTATCCTGCTTCACATCTCCCCAAGTTCTCCGGTCTATTTTCCCTTTATACACTGTGCAAATATCTTGTAAAACTTTATTTGTATAAGACTATTCACTTAAAACATCACATTTCTTTCCCTTTAACATCATCCAGAATACTTTACAAAAGATTAAAGCTTGTCAGGCTACAGAGAAATGGAAAAATACTTCAGATCTGTTATCAACAAGCATTAAGAGTTTCCATTGAATTTAAAAAACTACAATTTATCTGTTATTTCCAGAAACTTACAAAATGACACTCTTAAATTTTTTAACCTTCTCAATGCAAGAAAATCGATGAGAAAGATTCTACTAATAGAATGAAAATGTGTATATTTACAAGAGAGCACAGTTCTATAAGTGGTCCTGAATCAATTATGATGAACACAATACCTAGTCATTATACTTGTGCTCATTTATGAAGAAAAAAATTCAACAGATCTCCAACACCCCTCTAGAAGGGATATTAGATTTTTTTGGCTTCTCAGTGGATAAAAGATTCAGTTCAGTTATGTAATTTAATGAATTAAACTACCAAATAATACCATGCGGTTAAAGAGAGATGCTAAAAGGAAATCTGCAATGAAACAAGCTTTTAAGTACCGGATGTTACCAGAATACAGAGTGTATAAAACCCTCATCAAATCTTCACAAGATGGCTGTAAGAGAAATGGTCAGTGACAACTCAAACATTTTTTTCTTGTTAATTTTTTTTTTCAAAATTGACAATTATTCATGTTTCTGTGAGAATTTTCCCTTTTAAATTTTTTAAAATGGTTTTTTTATCCATGGAAAACCTCCTCATGAATTTTATCAGTATGATCCACATCAAAATGCATTAAGACAAAGCTAACTAACATGAAGGACAAAAGACATGAGACAAGCAACAGGAGATGTACCGCGAAGATCTTGTGACAACAATCTGTACAATCATTCCAGACTTCTGACTCACGGCCCAGGACGTTTCTTTAATTGCTGATGTGGAAATGCATGCCATTACGATTGATAAATCTCAAGCAATCATACATCCATTATACAAAAAAAAAATCTCTTAAAAAACTGTAAAAATGACATCCATCACAAGGAGAGCAAGGAAGAGAGTATGTATCAATCTAAGGGGGAGTCATGTTTAGACTTGGGGACTTTTATTTCCCCGCAGCTGGTAGTGGAGTCAGAATATATTGACTTACAAAGCTTCCGTAATAATAAAACTACAAAGATTCTGTAGAGTTTCTCCATTTATTTTAATTATCTGTAGATATTAATTTTTATAAAAAAGTATCCAGCCTTATCCCATAAAAGCTACGTCATCTAGGAAGGGTATTTAAAGCAGTACTTCAGAATTATGTGAAAGGAAAAAAAATCTCCTACACAAATAGAATTCACCAAACTTTTAAAATTCAGAAATCCCTCATCCAGGGATGAAATGTTTAATGTTCAATATTGACATTTCCCATGCATCCTTACTGTGGCCGATTGTATGTGCCAATTTCTGATTTACAACACCTTATTGAAGCCAGTAAGAATCCCCCCTTATTCTGGGAGTGTGTTACATCAATTTATTCTTCTTCCTATATAAACTATTTTACCACAACCGAGTCCCAAACAATATCTTGTTTAGTTTAAGCATCTATATAAGTATTCAATATTTTGCCTGCGATTTCTATGGCATTTAAGTGCTAATAGATTCTTCAACTTTTAAACATCTTTATCCTTTTGGGAAAAATGTAAATAGGTACACAGTTAAATATTTATACTGGGCATTTATAGTCTTGGTTGACACAGATGGACAGTTGCATTGAATTCCAGGATTTTGGGCTACTGGTCCAAATCTCTGGGATGATTACTCATAGCAAAGACACTCAACAGCTAGGGGGACGCTGTCAAAAGTTATGTTTGTTAGGGATTAATTATGGAGATAATCCCCTTATATAGATGAAAGGTCTTAATCTGTGATTAACATCAGAAAGATTTTACATGACTATTCACATCATGAAACACACTCTATTGATATAGCTGAGCAGCAATACTTTCCCCCTTCTATTTATCTCACACTAGTGATATTTGCATCCTGCAACTCATCAGGAAAAAAAAGTCTTAAAATCTAAATCTTCAAAAAAAAAAAAAATTCCTGGCTAATGTTTTATGCCATTTTTTTTTTAATTCAAGTGGGTGGGTGTTTTTGATCACTCTTATTAATATGCAATTATAATGTTAAGGTTATTGTTTACAAATTCACAAACATCTTGATGAAAGTCATTGTTAAATATTTGATGGCCGATCCATCATGGAGCTTTCAGAAGTAAGGGGGGAGCTACAGAGCTGGTCAATGCTCCTTATGGGTGTCCATCACGCTGGTCCTATGACAGGGGCAGTCAGATGTGACAGGCGATTTGTGGAGGAACTTCTCGCCAGTATTCAGCCACGAACCAAAGCCATTATCAGCTAGTAATGACAAAATATAAAGCCATGGCCCCAGGCCTACATAAGCAATGACCTTTGCTGCAGAGGTCATCGCTCACAGAGGAAAAGATTACACAATTCCATTTGTTTTTGGGGTTTGTTCCCAGTACAGCTTGAACCAATCAACCTGTCAGATTTACAAGAAGGACAATTTTTACTGCCATCATCCACCACTATTAACAGGTATAAAAATAACAGATACATGGTCCCTTTCTAAGAACATCCCTTTATGCAGTCGTGTACATATTCTGTCATCATCTTGTTCTCCTCTTAACGCTACAACATCGTTAATGGTACATACACCAACATTTATGGCCATCTATCAATTCTCCTTAACAGAGAAAGGGAGCACGAAATACTTCCATATATAGCACTGCTAAAAACAGGTCGCTTGGAAACAGGAGCCGCAAATAGACAGGTTATCATCAACACTAAAGCATCAAGTTGCCCGCCAACTAACACCATACACGATGTCTCAAATGTAAGCCTTTATTTGTGACGAACAATGAATTACCCAGTAATGCATCAACACAAAATGATGTTTATCTGCATCCTTTCATCCTTATCTCACCTGCTTACTTCACGTATCTGAACTTCCTACTGTTTCGTGCTTACAGTGATAAGCTACCCCAAAAAAGACAACTGACCTGACAACGTCAAGTGACACTGCAGAGACCAGAATTAAGGACACAATACTTCAAATTTAAAGCTGAAAGAGGAGACTAATCTTGGCCAGTATCTCGAGCATCATACAGTACAGACAGTCGTACGCTTGTGAAGGTTACAGGGTTGCAGAGTGCCCATCTGAATATCGCATTAATATTTCCTGATTATTTAAATGCCACCAAGAAATTCAGATTAGGAGAAACATCAAAAGACTTGTATTAAAACAAGGAATTTTTTTTTCTTCATTTTCTATTACACATCATGTACCTTATATCAATTTGCCATTAATTAGATTCATCTGGATTCCATATTTTATCTATAGGACTACCTTGTGCATGGTCCATGATGGCACAAAGTTCCTTCTGAAATTTTTTGTTAATTCTGCCTTTGACACATTGATGCTGTAATGTGTAATTAAAATCAATCTTTAATTGTCCACAGCTTAATCAAAAGCCTGCAATTTATTAGACTTCATTTCCATGAGCGAAATGTTTAGCACTTGCATGACAATATTTAATAATTATTCACAAATACAGGATAATTCTTATGTTTGTTACTTTAGACATAACAGTCAAGAAGTCAGGAGTTAGCCGTCATGGCCGACTGTCGGACCATGTCTGGTCCTGATTCGTGGGTCAACCACCATAAAGAACGGCTAACACCAGTATCCTCTGTCAAAAACAATGATGTATCACCGTCACTTTGCGGCCATTATCACGATACATCATTTGATCATTACAACAAAAAGAATTACACAGCCATGTCACATTGTAGCCATATTCATCATCAGTGAGTATTGCTAATAAAGATACTTTTCATGTTCTGTTAATGACGGAAACAACCAAAACAAAAGAAACCGGCAAAAACAATGTCTGCTAATGATTTCTTCCTTTCCATATTTAGCACCTTTCATACAAGAAATTATTTTCTTTTTTAAAATGTACAGTTTTTCCCCCTCAATCATTGATAAAGTTCAAGTTCTTGTGGCTACTAGTAAAGATTTATGCTTTTCTTTACAAAATATAAGGAAAGACATCAAGACTTTTAAAATCAATTAGTGAAGAGAATTATAAATGTAAATTGATTGGTTAAATGAAGTACGTAACACTAGTAGCATGATTAGATATTCATGTCATTCCATGTATGGAAACCAGGCACAAAACCACAGGTAATGTAAGGCGAGTTTGACAGAGGGATGAAGAGAAAAAACAACAACTTGAGGCCATCGTAGTGTAAGTACACACATGATTGATGGACTGAGGGCTTGATGTCTCAGCTTCCGATAACGAAGCCTGGACTTACATACTACGTTCCCGAAGCAACGTGTGAAAACACCCTGCAGTGCAGTTAACACATGTCAACCATGGTATGTTAGGAAATATTTCACACCAAAAAACAATCAGTTTTTATCTTCCACAAATCACCAACACTTCATCAACTCCACATTCTAAAATAATACATTCAGTACTTTATGAATAATTTCAAAAGTTCCTGAATTTATGATGATGTGTTTAATATCAGTC